AGGTGGCCTGTTTTCTCGGAGGTGCAGTCTAGAAGTCTGCCTAGCGGGCTAGAAATAAGCTTTGTTCCCAAAAAAGGCCATTCAAAGAAGTTGTATTTGGTTGTTCTCTCTCTCTCTCTCTCTCTCTCTCTCTCTCTCTCTCTCTCTCTTTCTTTCTCTTTCTCTCTCTCTTTTTTGAGTATGTTGGAGACAACCCCGTACTGCGTACTGCCTATTTGGAATGTGGCATCATAACCCTGGCAGACATTTTCCAACAAAATCTTCTAGCCGTTAAAACGAAGGGACTTTTAGTTGCACATTTTGTAAATTACACAAAAGCACATTAGTAAATATTATATTTGTTTAAACGGCATGGGGGTAGATTAAGTCTGACCCAGCAGGCGTTTGTTCAAGACTTTCCTAAAAACAAGTTTTAAATAACCAAAGTGCTTGCATTTTGAAGGCCAGATTTAAATCTCCTGTTTTTCCTATATTTAGTTTTTTATTTTATTACATTTTCATTTGTTTCTCAAAGTAATTTCTTTCTTTTCCCCAATAAACCACGCTGTGACTGAGTAAAAGGAATTTTAGAACAAATCGGTGCTGCCCCTGTTCACATGTGTGAGCAAAAATCATGCTTATGAACTGCTAGCTTTGTGATGTATGGACTCCAAAGCCGTGCCAGGAAAAAAAAGCAACTCTGAGCAGAAATGAGGGCCCACTCTGTGAACTGCAGTGGGTAGCAACTCTCCATACACTGAGAAGCCTTCAGTTTTAAGACCAGGGCCATTTCTTTACCTACAAAACTTAGAACACGCGGGTACTTCAAGACTACTGACAAAAGGCCCCAATACTTCCCCCACTAAAGGGCAAGGGCCATTTCGAAGGTTGGATTTAGAGAAAAAAGAAAGAAAAATATTTAACCTAAGGATAGATTAAACCTGGTAGACAAGAAAAGAAAAAAAAACCCCACACATTAAACAACCCTGAAAAAGGCAACATTTTTAAAGAACGAGAAAAAGATATTGTTGTAGAAAAAAAACCTAGTTATTCATAAATGTATAAATGGGAGAATTTCTGAATTTTTGTTAATGCTGGACATGCTGAAACTATATTAATTTTCCTCCATGAAGCTGCAATCCAGCTCTACATCCTCTAGATAATTTGGAGCCCCCTTCCAAAAAAAAAAAAAAGCATTGAGAATGGTCTCTATACTCAAACTAATTTATATTTCATTCTCAGGACCTAGGGATATTTTGCTTTTTGTTTTGTTTGTTGTTTGTTTCGTTTTGTCCTAGTGACAAACTCAACTTATTTTCTTAATAAGAATGTATTTGGGGGCTTCACAAGGGCCTACACAGGAAGAGGAATTGGCTATCAAGTCAAAAGCAGAGTAATCCTCAAACTCTCTTGAGTCCTGTGTCTGGCATTTCCCGCGGTTCCATGGAGAGAATGGAAGCTATCTCCAGGTAGAAACCCGCAATATTTACTCCTGAACAGACACAGACTGTGGCGGTGGTGGCGGCGACAGCAGTGTGATTGCTGCAATGGTCCGGCTAAGGACAGCAGGCACCAAGGGTTTTAGGTCAAAGGCATCTACAGAAGGAAAAGGGAATTCAGCAGCTAAAAAGAAGGGCAAAGGCAAAAGGAAAGAAAAGGGAATCACTATACTTAATCCCTTGGGGGATGGCGAATCTCCTGAAAGCCAAGGAGCTCAATAAACAAAATATTTTTTATTGAGGAGGCTAACACCTCATTGTTGTGGTTTAGAGAGAAACTGGAGCCTTCAGGGTGGCTGAGGGAAGCCGGGGGCTCCAGACCAAGAAAGCCGAGCAGGCACTTAACCCACCTTCCACGTTTAACTCGAGTTTCTGAGTCATTATATTTACTCTGTGACAGCCATATCAGGCTAGTCCGCCAGATACCTCACAGTATCCCATGGTAGGCTCTCCTGTTGTTCCCTTGCTTAGCAAATCTCAGTGGGAGTAAGACAGAGCGGCCAGTTAGAGAGGGGTTTCCATGAAGGCTTACACACTTAAACAAGGAAAGAAAAGAAAGAGCTCAAATTAAACATGTCGTTTGGTTTTTAACAGGGGGCAAGTTGCTATTGAGAGCAACATATCTGCTTATCACAAAGGCTGATGAAGATCCAAGTGCCAATGCCATGGTCTATGAGGCTGGTAGCAGACAATCTAATTCTCCCAGCCTTTCGCAGAAATGGCATTTACTTGCAGTACTCGAGTTGACTTTCTAACCTTGGTCAGCAATAGCAGGCTTCTGGATACTATCCAACCTAGAAGGGCCATTTGGCCATCCTACAAGGCCTTGGCTAGGACCAGTCTGAGCGGCTAGCAGCTGGGCACCTGGCTTGTTTTGCCAGACAAATAAGCAGGGGTTGCTGAGTCCCATGAGAGTCCTGGATGGAGAATTTAAGGACAAAGCTTTGGGGGGGTCTATAAACCCCTTGAAAATGATGGGTCAAGTCATGGGAAGGCAGATTTGGGTTTTTCAGAATTACCCTTAGGTTCCTCGGAAGACTCCCTGAAACCTTGGAAGGTTAACAAAGATCCCATATCTGTATCAGCGTCTTTCTTTTTATTCTTGTAGCCTCTGCTATCTCAAACACTCTCTCCAATGGCCACTGGTCCTTTAAAAATCACTACCAGTGAAGCTCCTTTTTACATGAGATCCAGACAGGGACAGCAGAGGGGTCTAACCCTGATCCACAAGCCTGCTGGCCTGCTGCTGCTTCTTTTCCTGAGCAACACTCTTGAGAACTACTTCCCCACATAACATCTCTCGCCAGAGAGGTATCTGAATCGCTGAAGAGCAAAGTGCCCTTTTTCTGGCAGACCTCAGCTTCCGGGCATTTTCAGGTGACTGACTGAACACAAGCCCCACCTGTCTGGTGAACAGAGGAGGGACCAAGCACATCCTGGAAGCTTAAGGTAGGGCCATGGGCTTCAGTGCTCTGGAGCTCTGCAGCCTTTTGGTTCGCTTGCTCTCTAGGCCTACCCAAGAGAAAATTTGCCTTGGCCTTGGCTACAAAAGCAAAACAGATAGTTAATGTTTCACACAGACCCAGATTTTAGTAGTTTCCAGAGTGGCTAATGTAGACTGAAAATTCCAGTTGCAGCAGACTGATGCTCATCGGTGTTCGTATTCTCTTTCTCTCTCTCCTTTTCTCTCGTCTCTTTTTTCATCTTCTTCCTCCCTTCTTTCTCTTCCCATTTCTTTCTTTTGCATTCAGATGCTTAGATACCCAGCCCTCCCAGACAGTCACCTTGGGGAGACAGAGGTAGAAGTGACAGGGATGCCTCGCTGCTAGTGTTAGCAGAAGCCCTGATTCTTGGGCGGCGGCTGGCCAAGCAGCAGCAAACAAGCTCAGTCGCTGGAATGTCAGAAGCCAGAGGCTGGCCTCTATAGAGGCCAGTCTGTGTTTTCACTCTCAGGGTCGGCTTTGTCCAGTGGCTGGATTCATTCCGGGAGAAACCAGAACATGATCATCTAAATGTAAGAGTCTTTCTCTGCCATTTGCAGAGGCCTGAACAATGTAGTTTCTGGGATCTGGGCAGTCAGCAACACTCCTGTTGCTACTGGAGCTGGCAGGCCTAGGGCATCCTGGAGACCTCCTAACCTTGTGGGTTACAGGTCAGGGGCAAAGCATCAACTAACTGCACAAGCTCCCCTGAATCCTGCCGGAAAAGGTCACATTTCCTGAGCTTGAGATGAAGCACACACTTGGGGGTTAGCGGGGTCCCAGGATGACCACTTCCAATTGCTTTAAAAAGCACCACTGAGTAGGACCCAGTGTCTGCTAAGCAAAGCTCCTGGTCTCTGGAGTCTCCTATAATAGGGCTCAAACCCAGCTTAACCTTCCAGGAAATGGATCGCCTCATCACCACCTTGCTAAAATGTGCACACTGTATCACAAAATGGCTGGAACAAGGACTTTTCTAGCCATGTCTTTGGGTCGTGGGGTGGGGACAGCAAGGTAAGAGTGTAGTGACAGGTTTTTGTCATAACTTCAGGGAGGCTAGGAATGCTAAGGCTTAAAGGAAAGCAAGAGAGAAAGCCCTGTGGTAGAGGCGTTTGCTGGGCATGTTCTCCCAGGGTTTCACCTCCAGTTCTCCCTGTACAGAGAGACCAGAGACCCAAAGCTAACATTCTAGTCCACCCAAAACAAGAGAGTTTGGGTCTCCTCGGGGTGATGGGGAGTATGCCTTTGACTGGGGGGGATATCCTTTGCTAGGGTTGCCAGACAGTTGATTTTCACCTCACTAAACCAGCTATGCAAGGTTGTATGACAGAAGTAGAGAGCCATGAACCGACTGAGCATAGGGAAGGAGAAAAATCTTGACTGGCCAAAGGATGGAGTGGGAAAGTCGCGAGGACCGAGGAGCCAGGCAGTGATCAGCCAATGCATTTCGGGCAGTATTCTTTGTATGATGCTCGAGTGGTACTAGCTAGCTTCCAGTTCACTGTGGATTCTGGACACTCCGAGGGTCTTAACAGCCTTAGGACCACGCCAGTCTCTTCGGGGAGCCAAATTTAAGAAATGAATAGAACGAAGAGACAGAGACAGAGCCTGCTTAAATGATCAAGGGACGACAGGGACTCAAGGCCAATCCAGAAGACATGGGAGCACCCAAAGATGGCTGGGGTGCACATCATAAACACCCCACTTGTTAAGAGCTCAAGGCCCAGGGGTGCTTCCAAATATATTCTTTGGGGGGGGGCGGTTTGCAGACTCAAGAGCCAGTTCTCCTGACCACTTTGAGGCAGCCCCCTCAGTTCTGGCCTTCGGGCCATAGGTGTCAGGCGTGCGTCTTCTGGCCCATCAATACAGATTACATATTTATATCAATCGCGGGCTTCGAGGGCGCCCTCGGAGAGCGGCCCTGCGCCTACGAAACCAAACTGGGAGTGGTCGCGTGGAAACTCTGGCTCGGGATTGGCTGCGGGCGCCCGCCGCGGTGCGGGGGGATTGCTAATCGTATTCAGCATGTTTTGCACAAGAAATGTCAGCCAGAAAGGGCTATCTGCTCCCTTCGCCAAATTATCCCACAACAATGTCATGCTCGGAGAGCCCTGCCGCGAACTCTTTTTTGGTCGACTCTCTCATCAGCTCGGCCAGAGGCGAGGCGGGTGGCGGTGGCGGTAGCGCAGGGGGCGGCGGAGGCGGCTACTACGCCCACAGCGGGGTCTATCTGCAGCCAGCCAGCGACCTGCCCTATGGGCTGCAAAGCTGCGGGCTTTTCCCCGCACTGGGCAGTAAGCGCAATGAAGCGCCGTCGCCTGGAGGAGGAGGTGGTGGTGGTGGTGGTGGTGGTGGCAGCGGGGGTCTGGGTCCCGGGGCTCATGGCTACGCGCCCGCGCCCCTAGACCTGTGGCTGGACGCGCCCCGCTCCTGCCGGATGGAACCGCCCGACGGGCCGCCGCCACCGCAGCCACAACCCCAGCAGCAGCAGCCGCCCCCGCCGCAGCCGCCCC